TCCTGCACAAAACCTGTGCCCAAGCACGTGCACTGTGTGGACTATAGTGATCCACTGTGGGGACCCCCCAGTAAAACTGGACAGCAGCCAAAACCCACCTGTCCTACAGTTCCCCCAGCCTTTCCTGCCTTGTTGACCCCTGCTTGCTGACTTTGCCCCTTGTCATTCAAAAGGTTGTTCTTTATACCTTTTGCTGCTTCAGTGTGAGCTGTGTGAAGCTGCATAAGTTGCCTCAAGTGATGTCAGTGACTACAAGGCTGAAAATGAAAAAAATCTGGGGGTGTAGTGTTAGTCATGTCTGCTTTGGGCTAGTGAGTTGAGACTAAATTAGCTGCTACTAGCATAACACACACGAGGGTCGGCGGTGTTGGCTTCTGACAAAGATGAAGAATGTGTGGAATAAAAGAGACTGTGTCTGGTTCTGTTGCATTGATTTTGGTACTTTGTTTAAACTGCCTATTGTAACTCTTACAGGAGTCACAATAGTTTGGAAGGGAGCGGGGATATGGAGGGGAAGAGGGGGAAAGCATTTGTTAATGGGATAAAATTAAACACTTGTGGCTATGAGCAATTTTAATAAAAGATAGATGCAGAGCTTAGCACAATGTAACAAAAAAAGCATTTCAGAATCAATGCACAAAGGAACATTTTGTAATGTCAAAATGTCATTTCCAATTCAGTGGTTGTGCTGCATATACAACATTACAAATTACACGGATACATGTCACTCTGTAGGAATAAAGTGGAAGGCTAAGAATCACAGTGGGATGAGAATCAGTGAGAAAGGCAGAGAGGACACAAATGATAAATGAGAGGGAGAGGAATGGGATACAAGGATGAAGGATGCATCAGAGAAACAGATCAGTGAGTTGTGTTTCTATTGGAAGAAAGTGGGATTTAAAGCAAGAAAAGAACAGTGTAGGGGCAAACAGAATAAAGCATGAAAAGGAAAAAGTCCAGAGAGGGTGACGAAGGAGGAAACAGAATGAATGATGAGAAGGTGGAGGAAGAAGCACGAACAGAAAGGACGGGGTGGCAGGGGGAAAAAAGACAGATGAGCGGGAAGGAAAATAGATGAGACAGAATGAGCAGAGAGATAAATGTAGACAGTTAACAGAGGAGACCGGAAAAAATGAGGAGGAATTAATGAAAGGCAAGGCCAAGCGAACACACAAGTAACGTTCACGAGTCGGTATCATAGTGAGTATAAAGTTACTTTAGTTTTAAAAAAAGTAAATAATTCTGTTGCAGTTATATAACAGTTGTATATTATAATAATAAGGATGTTCTTGATTTGTCTGAGAACCATCAATACTGTACAGAAATATAGATGCACTGTCTCAAACGAAACAGTTGTTAAAGGGACAATTTGCAGCCAAAACTAAAAATACAGTCGACAACAGGGTGTAACACCAGTTCAGCAAACGCCCTCAAGGGACAAATACCTCCAGCAGCTTAGGAAATTCTAGCGTTCTCCAGCAGGAGCAAAGGAGGACGTAGTGTGATATATATACTGCAGTAAAGTAACAAAGTCCTCAGAAATAAGGTGGCAGAGGTGGATATACTGTAAAGTGTGTGTCAACAAAATGATGGACTTTAACTTGGAAGGCCACTGATGGCCATTTTTATACCCACATTTTGTTCTGCACTGACACTTAAGGTTAGGTTCTTTTAACCATGACAGCTATTGTTCATTAATCTTAGCCAATCAGTCAGTTTAACCAAGACAACGACATTTTCCTAACCTTACAGAGGAAGTCATTTTAGTCCAAATACTGTCCCTAGCCAGGTTTTCCAGCCTAAACCTAAGCAAACCCTAACCATGGTGGTGGTTAACCAAACAGTTTATGCTCAGTTGACTGTGTCCTCAACAACACTGCTAAGAAGAGAGAAAGGGAGCATTACTTTGTGGAATTATACTGTAACGTTGGCTGGTTGAAGAAGGAGTTGCAGACACAGACCGTCTTTTCTGCATTCTCTCGAGTTGCTCTTTTATTAAACACAGCTGAGAACAACACAGCAGTCAACAGCAACAAAACATACCAAACACAGAACCACACACAATATCTCACCAACCCATAACTACATACAACCCACCCAAAGGGGCATTCTGGGGGACCCTGCCAAGTGTCTCTCTGCCGCCAGCACTACAATACTATGAATGGAAAGTAAGAAGAAAAAAGGATGAATATGGAGTAGTGGGCGGCTGGAAGATGTAGGAAAGTGAGAGCTGTGTTATCACTGATAACATGAGACAAAGCTTTGAAGAAGGGGGCCAGGGAACAGCAGGGTTCTGTGCCAAAAATCCTCTGTATTATCATTTTTTTATTGCATTACTCTTCCTTGATACTGAGGGCATGCCACTGCTCCCACCCAGCATCAAATTAATCTTTGAAACTTGCCTTAATTTTTCAAATAAGTAGAGAATTTTTGGTCTTACTGCTGAATAGACCTAGGCAAAAATAACTTTGTGATATATGAGGAATTCGCTAAGAGCTCCAGATTATGTACTATGAAAATGACCTCACTGACCCTGACTGTGTACCTGTACCTGGTGTGTTTGTTGTCCTCCATTTGGAAGGTTTTTTCCTGGGTCAGTTTCGTGGTCTACATATAGATGGTAAGTTGAATGGTTCTGTTTGATGTATGAGTACAAGTGATGAGCATTGTAGGGGATTTGTCTTGTTTTTGTTTGCAGTACTGATGACCTCATCCTACACACCTGCAAAAAATGACTGGATGGTGTGCAAGAATTTAGTTTGAATTAAACCTGCCCTAATGAAACAACTGATTGATTATGTCAGTGTATTATCTATCAGTGCTGCTGAGTGTGATTTTCTGACCTCACAATTTTGGTCTTCTCCTTTTCTCACCATTCCTTCCTCCCCACTTGCCTGGCTTCCTGTCAAACCCCTGTTCCTGTCCTCCTCACAATCTCTTCATTCCCCCAACCTCTCACCTTTCCTCTCTACCTCAGGGTGAGTGTTCCTCCAAGTGCCACAACATGTTCATCATTGAGACGGTGTGTGTAGCCTGGTTTTCCCTGGAGTTCGTTCTGCGGTTCATTCAGGCCCGCAGTAAGCTGGACTTCCTCCGCGGGCCACTCAACATCATTGATGCAATGGCCATCCTTCCCTACTATGTCTCTCTGGTGGTGACAGAGGAGGACCCATCTGTGGAGAATGAGAGGCCAGGTGGAGGTAAGGGCTACTTGGACAAGCTGGGCCTGGTGTTAAGGATCCTGCGGGCACTGAGGATTTTGTACGTGATGCGGCTGGCTCGCCATTCTCTTGGTCTGCAGACACTGGGGCTGACGGTCAGACGCAGCACCCGAGAATTTGGCCTCCTCCTGCTTTTCCTCTGCGTGGCCGTCACCCTCTTTTCCCCACTGGTCCACTTGGCTGAGAGCGAGCTCACGGGCACCCATGACTTCAGCAGCATACCCGCCTCCTACTGGTGGGCCATTATCTCCATGACAACCGTGGGCTATGGCGACATGGTGCCGAGGTCCATCCCAGGACAGGTAGTAGCACTGAGTAGCATCCTCAGTGGGATCCTCATCATGGCCTTCCCTGCTACCTCCATCTTTCACATGTTCTCCCGCTCCTACCAAGAGCTCAAGATAGAGCATGACCGATTGTTCAAGGAAGAGTGTGCCGCTGCCGCAGCAGCTGCTGCCACCGGGGAGGTGCAGGAGGAGGGAGGTGAAGGAAGGGGGGAAGACTCAGCTCCACCTGCACTGGGATTACGTATAGATGAGGACAGTGCGCACTCACTGGAGTCTTTGGCTCTGCTAGGGAAAAGTGGTGAAACTGCAGGAAATAATAACTGCAGCCTTCCAGCAAGCGCTTTCTGAACAGTACTCACATTGACTCAATCTAAAAGATATAAGTCCCTCAATCTTAGTTGTACAAATAATAAAAGTACTGCTAATGACTAGTGCTCCTAATGCCTCACTTCCCACATGGTTGTGGGGGCACCTGTGTTGCACTAGATAAAAAGGGATTAAGCAAGCAGCATTTGTTTTGGCCTTTGGTCTGATGATAAGAGTACAAGTGTACACAGAAAGCACAGAAACTGAATGACTTCAAACCCTTTAAATCGGATGGCCCAGTATGTCTGACCAGAAAGCCTCTGCAGCAATATTAGTAACTGGCTGCTTCCATAAACATGCAATATTCAATCCAAAGTTGCTTTTCCTTCCACTGTGAAAATACTTATAAGTCCAACTGCAACCTTTAGTTTTATTCTTATTACTTTTTCATATGTTGCTCCCAGTATGATCTCAAACTGTCTCATACTATATAATCTACTTTTCTGCCATGAATTCAAAGAAGTGCTCCTCTCTTAGTTTATTTCTGAGAAGCTTGAAGCCATGTTCTGAGAAAACATATAAATCTAAAAACAAACTGATAGTTTTGGCTCATATACAATGTATATCTCTCTCGCGTGTATGTTTGTGTGCTTGAACTCATTAAGGTGAGGGTTTCTCCAATGTCTACTATGAACTCAAGATTAACTGTGTGATATTGCAGAAGTTATGATCCATATTGTTTTTTTAATGAGCTGATGAAGCAATGAAAGTAGGAAGAGAAAAAAGTGTTTGAGGGTGTGTGTGTGAGAGAGAGAGAGAGAGAATGAGCGCTATCCATCATGAAATGTACTTTGCAACGCTCCAAATAAAAGCTCTCCTAGTAATCAGAGAGAAATCCTTTTTCTGCACTGTAGGATTTTATTTATTTTTCTGGTCGGGGTTGTTCTGGGTCTGACATTCTTATCTCTTTTGCCAGGATGCTCAATGAAGTCGTTTTGCAGAACACTTCTGAGAGAAGATGCAGAAACAACTGTCCAAGCCAGACACACACGCTGATAAGTAATTTCTGAACAATTATGTGTCAGTCGCCTTCTTACATCACCTCTTTTCACCTCCTTGTTTCTAGAGGTTTTTTTGAATTCTACCACTCTGGAAGGGGGCCACATTTCTCCATAACTCTGCAGTTTAGAGACAGGAATCTCTGTAACGCAGTGCAACAAAAGAAACTGTGCTTAATGTTACTTCTTCAGGTCTGGGACAAACCAATCCCCTCAGCCTATGTCAAAATGGATGATGTTATCTTTTTTTCTAAGAAGTATTCAGGATTCAAGTATTGGGGTCTAAGATGGTTGTAGAGGCCAGCAGGGACATGCCATAAGTCGATGTAATCTAAATTAAAGCTGTGATTAAAAGCCCCACATGCAAACAGGTTACTGCATAAAACTGAACTTCATCCAGTTGCTTTAAATTTGATTTATAGCAACTGGGGTCTCACGCTAGAATACTAGTGATTTTAGTGCAATTGCTTTTGGCATACTGTGGCCTCTATTGCCCATATTACATCTCGTTTCACAGGGATTTATACTATAAATGCAGTGGTATTTGTATATTGTAACATATGGCTCAGATTGTATCACTCTGTAGCAGACAGTCCAGCTTTGCTTGATGAGATATGATGGATTACATTATATTTGCTATAGGTTCCACAGGGAGGCACCTATCAGTACAGTATATGAATAATATGTCACAGGAGTGATCACATGGATAATTCTAAAAACAGTTATGGGGATAATGCTTCCTCATATGAACAGTAAAATCAAAAGTCATCACTTCTGCTGATGTAACAAAGGCATAACTCCACTACAAAACACCACTTAATTGTCATTCACTGAAATGGAGCAAAAGGTGACATCTAATATGAGTCTTTGAATGAGCTTTTAATGGCAAAATCTGGAGTTTCATAAAGGAACAGTCTGACATTTTCATAAATGGCTTGCTGAGTGTTACATAAGGAGTTTGAAACCACCCTTATGTTTATATGGTATACTACCATTAAAAAGTTTGGGGTCACCTCCATTGTTTCACTTTTTAATTATGGTATTTAGTCAGTTCAAGTCAGTGAATAACCTTAAATGGTCCAAAGCTAAAATATAAATAAAGAGACGTTTTAAAAAGTCACCAAAGAGCCAATTTCACCAAGTCGCCTACAGCCTTGAATAAGCCTTGAAAATTAATGCAAACAGTCCCAACTTTAGTTGATTACTTGCAACGACAAATTCTATCTGAACAAAGGTAGTGTTGGAAATGGATCTGTTATTATATCCTCTACAGCATTGCTTGGAAAAGGCCATTAACAAAGAAAGCCAGACCTTTTCAGGGTTTCATCCTATAGCAGGATAATGAACCAGAAAACACCTCCAGGCTTTGCAGAAGAAAAGAACAAGATGATCAGCTGGCAGCACAGTGTCCAGACTTTCCAGATAAAGAGTGGAATGCTGAATTACAATAATAAATGGTAAAATGGAGCTCACCCCAAACTTTTAGACAGTAGTGTAACTATGAAGCTAAAGCCAGGAGACAGTTTAGCTTAGCATATTTAGTGCAAGCACCGGCAACAGGAGTTGTGCACATTCATGAACTTCTCTCATTTCTAAGAAGAGGCTGTCGGATTTTATCATTCTGAACTAATTACAGACTATTTGGAGTTTTGATTGGTGCAAAGCTAATCTAGAGGTACCCAAGATTAAACATTAAATGGCTGGAAATTAGTAAAATGAGTATACAATGGGCTCTTTAAACCGTCACTTAATACCGTATGTTGCTAGAAAAAAAGTCGTGAGTGAGAGTTTGCGAGACGTATAAACCAAGTTGCTTCTGCATAGAAATACTAGAACAGAAGAACACCTCTTTTTTTAGCTTTAGGTCACATCTGATGTCATAATTCACCGTTGTAACATTGTAGATAAGTCAAAAAACAAGGAAAAGGACACCATGGGCTCTTTAAAAAGCCAAACCTATGTTTACCCTGGCTTTTACTCTTTCTTAATCCCATTCTCTCTGGGCAAAAGAACGAGGCCTTGTTGGTCTGGCAGCCACTTTTTGCTGCCGAGAGGTCCTCCATGGCTGGTTTGAATGAATGAAATGAAAACACTTTTACAACAGGGTGGGACAAATTTACAGGCCAAATTTTGAAAGCATGGGTTAGAAAACTTGGAATAACATCAAAGTGTAATCAAACTTTTAAAATATGCGTAATTATCACAGTGTATCTTACTTGTTTAATCTTTGTTTGTTCATTTGTTTTGGCTTTTATGCTAATTTGAACTTGCACTGATTGTTTCTTGGCTGTTGCACCATATTTAACAAATATCAAATTGCTATCAGCTTTCATTTTTAGTAAGTCTCAGTAGGAAAGAAAAAAAGTATACTGTATTTCCCAATGTGTCGATTTTTTAAAGCGTGATGCAAATTAAAGGAATATTCCATCATTTTAAAAAATACACATTTTCAGCTTCTTATTAATTCAAACAAGTTTTTGAAGTTGGCAATAACAAAAAAATTCTGATCCATCTTTACACACAGAGCAAAAATGTATCTAAATACATAATCATTGAAAAGCATTTTATAAAAATTATTTTCTAAGTTGACAACAAGTTGTCACAATTTTAAGTTTATTACTAACACTTACACTACTGTTAGCTTTCATGTTGTGCATCTGATACAGTAATTGTACTGTAAACTTTTTTTTGTTTTTGCATATAACGTTTCTCTCATCTCAGAAACACCATCCAACAAGGACCTTGTCGTATCCATCCATCCATTATCTATACCGTTTCTTCTTGAACAGTGTCGTGTTCCAGCTGACACTGGGCAGGAGGCAGGGTACATCCTGGACAGGTGGCCAGTTTATCACAGGGCTGACATGTAGACAAACAACCAGTCACACTCCTAGTCCTAGGGGCAATTTAGAGTTGCCAGTCAACCTAAGCTGTATGCCTTTGGACTGTGGGAGGAAGCCGGAGTTCCCGGAGGAAACCCACGCAGGCACAGGGAGAACATGCACACAGAAAGGCACCGGGTTGGCCCGGGACCTTCTTGCTGTGAGGTGATAGCACTAACCACCGTGCCACTGTGCTGCCACCTTATCATATGTAATTCTAAAATTAAAAAGTGTTTATGGTCAAATGACCAAAGTGGAAATATTTTTACCTTTCATCATACCTTCTTCAAAATCTGTCAGTGCCATTTCAGCCACATACCTCTTCCCTCCATTTAATACTTTTTTAGACCATTTACATATTACAATGGAATTCAAAGGATGGATGATAACTTTAGCATTTTGTTTACACACAAACCTCTCATTCCTGTATATTTACACTTGACAAATGACTCACATTACTTTTAATTAACTGTACTTAAGAGCAGCCACTGAGAATAAATAAAGGTAAGTGTTGTTAAGACACTAGTTCAGTCCCTGATAGCTCTTTTAGAACAATTGGTGGTGGTAACACTATTAAGCAACATCGCTGGATTTAATTGGCAAAAACTATGCAACAGTTTCCAAAACTACAAAAACACTTAAAGACTATTGGGAAGAGATGGTAAATGTTTGGCACTTTCAAATGAGACTAGGACCATTTAAGCTTTTACACATACAGTGGGTACGGAAAGTATTCAGACCCCCTTAAATTTTTCACTCTTTGTTATATTGCAGCCATATGCTAAAATCATTTAAGTTCATTTTTTTCCTCATTAATGTACACACAGCACCCCATATTGACAGAAAAACACAGAATTTTTGACATTTTTGCAGATTTATTAAAAAAGAAAAACTGAAATATCACATGGTCATAAGTATTCAGACCCTTCGCTGTGACACTCATATATTTAACTTAGGTGCTGCCCATTTTTTCTGATCATCCCTGAGATGGTTCTACACCTTCATTTGAGTCCAGCGGTGTTTGATTATACTGATTGGACGTGATTAGGAAAGCCACACACCTGTCTATACA